ATTTAATATTGAATAATAACTATTAACTATTATATAACCAATAAGTTATATTAATCAAATTTACTATTTATTATTCGCTATCTACTTTTCGCTATCCACTAATTATCATATGCTACCTGCTATCATTATGCGCCATCCACTCTCTACTAACTGTTATATACTATCTGTTACTTACTATCCGATACCTACCACCTATTATCCATTGAATTTTAATTATTATACCAAACAAACTTTAAATATGGTGTTTACCTTTTTCTTTTTTTTTTTGGTATCTCAAATGATAGTCTTTTCCAAACCCTTTTTCACTCATCCCAAAATTTAAATTTGATTAAATTCTTAACATATGAGACGTCTTTTAGGGAATTTATATCTACCTTCATTTTTTTATGTTCAAAATGACTTGGAATCCATTCATGCATACAGTTACGTTACAAGAGAAAAAGATTATTGACGTGGTCTAATAATATAGTTACAGTATTCTTAACTACATATTTAATGTTTAATCTTTACTCTTAAAAAAAAAAAAAAAAAAAAACGTTACAAGAAAAAGGAAGCGACTCAGAAAATCCACAGCATAAATTGAAGGCCCACTGCATTAACTACTCAGAAAATCCAACTGTGGTTCTCCTTAAACACAAGGCACACCAGAGACCTTCCAGAATCTGGGTTCTCTGATGCTGCGCAGGATCAAGAACTTTAATTTCCATAGAGTAGGACGCTATGACGAAGAATAAGAGATCAAAGGGGAGAAAAGAGGAAAAGGTGAAGAGGGGAGATTGGTATCATGGTTGGGCCATTTTTCACTAGGCTTGTTTTTTAATTATTTTTTCAAGGCCCGCAATAGGGCCTGTGCCCAACCATGGGACATGCTACTTCTTCCTCCCTTGCATATACTCATTTCCTAATTCCTCTACGCAGAGCACTTTCAATCATTCTATCAAAAAGAGAAAAAAAGGTCTTATTACCCAAAAAAAATCAATTAAAAAAGTTTTTAATAGTCATTTATATGTTTTCTTAAATGGGTTTAGTAGATTTGTGCGATCAAAGATGGTATCGACTTTTTCCATAGTTTGTTGGTGAGATGGATGCTATTCTTTGTTTTTTTATGGCAAAACCATAAGTTAAGCCCCTGAACTAATCCCAGAAATGCTATCAAGCCCCTAGACTTTAATTGATGCATATAAGCCCTTGAACTCTGCGATTAAGGCAATTAAGCCCTTCTTCTTAGGCCAACTTAACCGCCGTTACACTCTCTCTCGCCTGTCTTAACTGCTGTTTGGGACTTGCTCGCCTGGCTGCTTGGATGGCAAAATATTGCCATGTCATGCTTATATGACCATATGACAAGGGATTTGATATTTGAGCAGGATTTATGACTTATTTGATTATTCAATTTTTTTACTTAAATAAAATCTAAATAAAATAAAGTCATACATTTGGGTAAAAATATTATTTAAATAAAGTCT